AGTGAATCGGCGAGTCACTGTGCGGAATCGTCCGGTTCTCTCTAGAACCGGACGATTCCCGGTTTTTGAACCGATCCGGTACCTTTTTCGTGAATTCCGAGTCGAACCGGGCGAATCCGGTTCGACTCGGCAATTTTTTAAACGCTGGTTAAAACAAAAAAAATCAAAACCTAGACCATACAGTACACCGGCTAAGCCCTAGACTACCGTGGTGCCTCTTCCCTCCAAACTCCCTCGAACCTCCCGTTACTCCTCTTCCCTCCAAACTCCCTCGAACCTCCGGTTACTCATCGAAATCAAGTGTCTCTGGCTTAGTGGAAATGGTCCTCTTTGACTAACTTGCTTTGACTCAAGCCCCAGCTCCAGGTGTTGAGACGACTCAGTAGGCTCGCTCTACTTTCTCTCAATTTTGTTTTATTTTCATTTTTTACTTTTTCTCTTTTCCAAACCTCTTTTCAAACCCCTCCCTTTCTTTTGCTATTATTAATTTTTTTTATAAATTTTCAAAAATTTGCTCTTGATTTTTGGCAACTTTTAGCGGGCACATCCAGTGGACCACAAAAGAGGAGACTATTCGTAATTTAATATAAAACTAGTATCACTTCCCTTTGATTTACATGGTTTACCTTTAGACATGGTTTACACTTAAAGGTATGCTTTGAAATTTCTACATAATTAAGTACGTCCTCAAAAAAAAAACAAAAAGTTGAAACTTTCCAAATTGCTTGCTCTTATTTAGTGCTGAAAATTCAAAACAATTTGCGGTATTTTAGCAATTTTATCCCAAAAAAAAAACTTAACCGAATGATGATTGGAGGTAAAATTGTCAAACTACCCCTCATTGTTATGATTTCACAACACCGAATAAGAATTTTTCAATATCTTTTTTGACAATATCTTTTTTGACGATGCACCTGATTGATATAAAATTTAAAAGTACACCCTTAAGCATAATTTTTACCAAATTGATATAAAATTTAAAAACATATGCTCGAGTGTAATTTTTAATCTTTAACCCGTTAGTGATATTGTAAGGGGTTTCAAACCTTTTTATGATATTTTCACCTAAGTTTTTTATTTGTCTCTGTCATTGGGTCTTCGCGCTCACACAGATGAGCATTCATAAAACAATTTTTGCCATCTCGCTGCATAAACAGATTCTCTCTCACAAACATAAACAATTGTTGCCATCTCGCTGCATAATCGCTGCATAAACAGACTCTCTCTCTAAAGAAACAATTCTCACTTCAAGAAATTGAGCAAGGGATAGCCATTGATCCAATGCATTGACCTACAGAGAGAGCACCAACCCAACCTTTTTAACTCTGAAGAGAATTATCAGTTAGCAGTTGAACCTCCACATCATTATGTGCTTATCATTGTGAACGGTGGCCACCTTATGCATTCCCACTGAAAGGCATGTGATGGTGGGCCGCTCATGTCTTGGTATGGTAAGAAGGTCATCTTCCGTCGCTCTCTTTGCCTTGAATTTCTTAACCAATCTGTCATCTGAGTCTCTTCTTGTATCAATTCCAGGAATAAAGGCTGAGAGAGTGATTCCTGAGTTTGCGCTGACTACACGCAAAACACCATCAATGCCACCCACAACCAGACAGAATGTATCACCTGGTAGATGATCCATTGCATACAAAACATTTGGGCTCACTCGTGTCCTCCAAACTTGCTGATGTTTCCTTGAAAAGAGGAAAAGAGAAGGAAGAACATGTAAAATCTCAGCCCACAGTCATGGTTGAGAGAGACAATCATGCATACAACTAAAATAACTATGGTGCAGTGTCATGCTCTTGGACTTCTAGCAACCTAAAACAAGGAAACTGCACTTTAATACTATGACAGGTGACATTCCGAAACTTCTTTTGGGCTTTAATGAATTTTCTCAACTACGAAAAGGAGTTCAAAATAATGAAATATACCATATATGAAAAATAAGAAAACTTTTAGCATTAAACTACATTTCAAACCAAAGGAATCTGATGTACGTGCCGTTGAAGTTTTGAGTTGAATTTCCTTACCGGAGATCCCAACATTGTGCATAACCAGATGTTGTTCCAGCAAAAACATAATGCGAGCACGGGTTCACGGATAAACAGCTTATTCCTGCACATGATGTTCAAATGTGAAGTAGACAGTGTTTGAAAGGTTTGGATAAGACCTAAATACATAAGACTCAAAACGTACAAATGACTAAATATTCTCTTTTTTCCTTAATACAACAACGTTAACCGTTTCAACAAAAAAAATTTCATTTATGTGCTCAAAATTGCTTAACCGCAATTTAAGTTGCAAGTTCAAAACATTTGCCCACAACATGAAACAACTTTAACTATTCCTTTACCTCAATGTTTTTAAACTCGCCTTAGGCCTCGGACTCGGCCGCCCTGGCCCAAGGAGTAACTCAGCCGAGTGGTCCGAGGTGAGTAACTCAGCCAAGTCAGAGTGAACTCGACCGAGGAAATTTCAGGGCCCAAAAGGCCAAAAAAAAATAAAAAAAGTGAAAATGGTTTAAAAACGAAATAAAAATAGTAAAGCGAAGAAAACTTAAGGCAACATAAAAAGTCCAAAAAAGCTAAAACAAAAAAGAACAAAACATCGATTTAGAAAAATTGATTTATATTTGGAGACATTTAGAAAAATCCAAAAGAAGAGGAAAATATAAAAATATTCCATATGACAAGAAAAACTCACATATCATTTTCAAAAATAATTTAAATTGCATATATAATTTCTTTACATTAGTTCAACAATTTTATATAAATTTATCTTTTAAATTTTAAGTGGCCAGAGTACTGGGCTTGGCAAGGAAATGAGTCGACTCTGCCAAGTTTTAATTCATTGCTTAATCTCATACATAGGCTTAGAAAAATGTAGAAGAATATACGAAATATAGCTGGTAGACATGAGCTGAGGTATTTACAGTTGGGAAAAGTTTATATAGAGCCGAGGCTCTAGACGATCAAATTCAAGCCTATATCAAAACTTTCATTAGATGAGGTTGTTTTGATGCCCAAATATCCTCAAATTGATCATCTCAACATCAAGATGCATGGACATGAGAAAAAAATGGATTTTAAGTTTTGAAAATAGTGTATTTTGTAGCATATTTTTGGAACGTCAATTTTAAAGATTTTCAAGTTTTCATAGATCTCTCGATCTATACTATGTTTTAAGCTTTAAACTTTATAAATAAATATGAAAATATATTTTAAGGCTATCAAAAAGATTTTTAATATGGAAACCACATTCCTCAACACTATTTGAAGGTAGGCTCTAATTGGATTGTTTAGAGCCTAGGCTCTATACAAACCGCACCCTTTACAGTTTCTAGTCACATTATCAAGTAATATTATAAAGACCTACAAAGGTTCAGTTTCTTAGTATAAAGTCTTCCCGCATCCTCAAAATAGAAGAAAGAAATTTATAATTAGATAAATTAATAGAAGAAAGAGACACATTCAATAACTTACGATTACACTTTAGATTCACAAAGAGAAGAAGTTAGCATTCTAGATATCTCATTTCAGGCAGAATGCCATGGAAATCACCTGTGGCAGTGGATCTTCTCAAGGAAGCCACATCTTGGCCAGATACAATATCAGAAACAGATACACTACCAAGGGAGGAACCGCTCACTATCAACTGGTCATCGGTCAAAGCCAGGCAAGTTACAGGGGCATGATGCATCCTGAAAAAGTTTGAATGTGAGAAACACATTAGACACAAAAAATGAGCAGAAAGTAAAATGAGAAGTCTTAACAACAAAAGTTTCCAAAATGAGTATCATTAACTCCTGGTAAACATGGACTTGGGCCTGGGCTTGATTGGTTAGCAGTTGACGCCAAGCAACGCAACATCTCAAGCTCAATTCCTACAACTGAACTACCCAAAAGAGAAAAAACAAACTCCTGTAAACATGCATATTTGATAACTCTTGGGACTGTATAATCAATTATAGAACAAGGTGAACTTTTGCATACCAACCATTTGGCTTAATACAGAGGTGAGACACATGGTTGCAAACCAGGTGTCTTTTGTATTAGTTCATGGCCAGACCTAGTTAAAAAAATAAAATAAAAATGAGAGAGGTCTTGGGATTGAACCTCTCCTTTGCAAAACCATCCTGACCTACCAAGAAAATCATAATAAATCACATTGCTCTCTACGCCAAAGCGATAGAGTTCCATAATTCATGCGTGTCCATGTCGCACTGAATAGAGAATACAGACCTTATAATTCTTGACATTCTGCCCCCATACATATCAAAGACACGAACAGTTCCATCCCCACATCCAATTACAGCCTCTGGATCCATGTAACTGCATAGCAAACCAGAAGCCATCTCAAGAACACCAAATGTCCTAGCCTCCCAGGGTACCATTTCAGACCAAAGAGAATGGGTTCAGGAAATTACTGATAGCCACTAACTAAATAAATACGAGTGCTTAATTAACTAGTATGCTGATGATAATAATATGGAAAGAGATGATATAGCTTCAAACATGAAGCTCAAGAAAAGCCAGTACCACCATCCTCAACTTTCATTTCATCCACCACACTTAACAGTCAGAAAAGCGGGCTTCATGATTGTTTTCTTTACTTTTGAGTTCCCCAGTGATAACCTACAACAGGTAGTTAGTAGACAAATCCAACTAAGTTCGATAACAGGGCTAAGCCTAATTCTGGATCGAGTTATCACTAAATAGGCCATAAACCTTGTTTGTCAACAAGGTTTAGGAATTCCCCATCCCCTGAAAATTGGGGGAAGGGGCCCCTCCGTTTACATCATTAATGCTCCCTCCCTTGAAACCCAAATTTGGCTTTCCTTATTTGGGTTTACTGTAGATTTTTTCGCAACCTAATTTTGCTTTTTATTTGATACTGTAAATTATATTATATACAGTGATTACTGAATATTACTGTACATTGCAGAAATTTCTCTCATTACAGTAAATTTACAGTGCTTTACTTTGTTTACTATAACAGAAAATTTACAGTAACTTTAATAAACTACTGTAACTCACAGTACAGCACCATGAGAGAACTTTGAGCGTTGACAATCCAGACAGCATCATTCCCCCAACTTCTTGGCTTTAATAATACTGTATGCCTGAAATTCGCCCATGGTTCTATCTGGCACTCCATTCCAATTGAAGCCCACACTCTCTACTCGTTACATCACTCTCTCTCACTCCTATCTCTCTCAACACAGCCAGGGCAATTCCCTCTGTTCAAGAGCATGTGCTATTATGGATAGGTTATGACAAGAAAAAGAAATCATCAATAATTCAAAAAAATTGAAATGCATTATAATCCAAAACTTCCACTATTTTTTGGTGATCTGAACCCTCCAGCTTGTAAGTCCTAAATATTTTGAAAATCCGATCTACTGAACAAATATATCATGGAATACAAGAGTCAAATGCCCCTACATTTTCATTTGTTGCTTTCTCATGCAGACCTCAGACCAATTCTTTAAAAGGAAAGCATGAGTTTGTGGTGAAATTCTTTTCCTTTTATGCCAACCAAAACACCATTTCTAGGAAGAAAGAACAAACAAAAGCATCTGCTTAACACAACATGCAAGAATAGAATAATACATTAAAGTTAACAACCATGTTCAGATTTAACCACTCACCGCATGCAGTAAGTTCGTGTCACACACCCTTTGTTTGACAATATGCTTCTTTTACCTTGACGCTTCCAAATGTTTACGTGAGTTCCAACAAGACCAACAATCTGAAAACTATAAACTAACTCAATATACCATAACAATTTTTGTCTTTTAAAACTAACTCATGGACATCAACCAAAGTACAAATAAAAACTGAATATTTCAATGCATACTCCATGAATGCATTCATACATACCTCACATGTCCCAAATGCGTAAATACATGCCCTTTATAAGCAGATGCCATTGTGTTATTATGCATTGATAAAATTATATATATATTCCATTTATTGGACTTTTGGTGTTTTAATTCTTAGATATATATATCTCTAAGAATTAAAACACCAAAAGTCCAATAAATGGAAGGGTTTGTGTTTTGTAGCCTGTTTACCTTATTCTCATCAAAATCAAAATCAATGAGTGGGAGCACATCTGGAACTTGATATTCTTCTAAACACTTGTGATTCCGTGAAGACCATAGCCGCAATACCTACCATCATCAATATAAAAAGAAACATGTAAAAATCACCCCTTAATAATAAATCTGAAAGACAGTCACAAATACTACTTCACACAACAAGATAAACTCAAAACATAATATGTTGGACACATGAGTTCAAGTGGAAACAGAATTCACTATCCTTTAAGAACAAACTACCAAGTAGGACATATGTTAACTTTCTCTCAAAAAAAAAACTACCAAGTAGGACATATTCTACTAGCAAATGGCATGTGCATTGCATGATGCTCCTGCTGAGAGATTAGATGAATTTTTTTTAAAATATTTAATCAAAAAAGTAATAATTTGTTATTTTATTTCATTAGAATTCATTCATTTTTATTTTATAGATGTTTACTTCTCTATCTAACCTTCTCTATTTTCTTTTTCAAGTTTCATTTTTTGGATAAGGTAAAAACTTATATAGAAATTTCTAATTTTGTAATTCCAACTTTTTATAGGCATTCAACTAAGGCCAAATCCCGGGCCCCTCGTGAAGGCCTCAGACGTTTCGACCACTATTGGGGCTCTATTCTCTTGGTAGAAGGGAACTCTCAGAACATCATCTATTGGGCATCTAGCACCTCAAAGCCACCGTGGAGACTTTGGTGTCTTTTTGATGAAATCCATGATCTTTGCAGGCATATGCAGTTCTCTTGGAGGCATATCTGGAGGGAGGCCAACCAGGTCGCAGATGAACTAGCCAAACTCGAAGCGGCCTCAGTGTCATCGCACAGTCTTTAGTTTTGGTTGACAGAATGTTGGGTTATCTTTGTTTCTTATTGCTGTTATTTTCATAGTTCTCGCTTTCTTGGTTTTGTCACCTCTCTTGGTGACTTTTCTTTGTAATCCCCTTGGGGCTGTTTTTGTAACTCTCTTATTCATCTATACAATGTTGAGAGTATAAAAAAAAAAAACTTTTTATAGGCATTCAGTATATAAAATCCCTTTCTAATTTTTTATTTGAAATTTCTTTTTTACTCTTATTTTTCTCCATAACTGATTATTCTTTTAATTCAAGTTTTTTAAAAAATCATAAAAAAGATTTTGGAAGGGAGATGAATGCAATTTTTCTCTTGGAAATTTTATTATTAGTTTTGTATAAAAAATTAAAAATATTTTTAAGCAAATAGATTTCAGAGATGAGAGTTAGAGAGAGAAAGAGATGCTGATATTTTAGAAAATTTGGAGAAAAAATAGGAACGGTGAGAAATTTAAAAGTCACACTACTATTTATTCTCCCTTTATACAGAGTTGAGCTAGAGTTATCAACAAGCCCACTAAATAAAGTTAAGACCCCTCCACTAGAACGCAATTAGCATGACACAGTTGAAAAATCTTAAGGCTTGATGTGAAGTGTTCTCACCTACGACTCTAGAGAATACATACCCCATGTGGCTAGAATAGTGCTACACTTCCAGCAGTGTGCAATCATGAAGAAAGCCACCAATACCACAGTTAGGCTGAGGTAACTCTGTGAACCCCTGATGAATTTGATCTTTAATGTCCTAGGTGAAGGTTTGATACATCTCATGCCCCAAACATCTGTAATCCAGTCCCTCAATAGGTCCGCTTTAGAACCCTAGTAATGGAGCAATCCATTGGATCCCAAGACTACCTGTTGGAAGGAATCCTCTGACATGTCAAGAACCTCCCTAAGCATTCACTAAGGATCCTACTAATGACAATCACTTGAAAACCCTCAATATCACATTTTTGTGAATTTGTGTAACAATTCGTGTGTATGTGAGCACACAGCGTAAACAGAGACAACATATGCACATCAACAAGTGTGCGCAGAGAGAGAGAGAGAGAGAGAGAGAGATTTGCGTCTCAACTTAGCCATACAAGGTCTATCATAATCACAATAGTTTATCTAGAACCTTAGCTCTCTCATTTCTTTCCTTAACAATAGTGAGATTATTAAAAATAAAAATGAAAAAAAAGACTATGTCCAATAACTGCAGTTTCCACAATTTTCAAATAAAGAGCCAAATCATCCAAATATTAACTTATCGTCATCATCATCTGAGCCTTATCCCAACTATTTGGAATTGGCTACATGAATCATGTCCTGCAATTCCGTTCTATCAAGGGTCAAGGCCCTCAGTTAGACTATAAGTCACCATATCTCTTCTCACTACTTCCATTCATGTCCTTTTGGGCCTTCCTTTTGCTCTTTTAGAGCCTTCCACTTGAACAAATTCGTCCATCCTGACTAGTGTTGTATTATATCTACACTACATATGGCCAGCCCACCTGAGACTATTTTTCCCTCATCTTATTGCCTATTGGAGCCACCCCTATGTTCCCTCGAGTGTATTCAATTAAAAAATTAACACCTACGAAATTCAAGTCATTAAAATGAACATTCACCTACAAGGACAAATATAATACTTTATGAAACAAATCATTTAATGCATGCCAATTGAAGAGGATGATTACTATACACACACACACACACACACTAACATATGCCCAATTTTCTGTACAAGTGGAATCAGAAGTTTGCTGCCACTAATGAATGATGCATTCAATCTTATACCTTATCTCCTACACCGGTCAAAAGTAATCCCATCTTCATGCGGCAAACATTTACACTGCACATGAGACAAATAGTATGTATAAAATAATTGAACTTCACCAGTTAATCACTAAAAGAAATAAGACCAATACAAAAGATATCAACTGTCGATTGCGAATATCGAGTACATAAACACATGGACAAAAATAGCTGATGTATATGTGCTCACACGTTTTTCACATTTTTATTCTACTCATGTATTAAAGAAAAACTGTGTCAGCGTAATGTATGTACATGTATACATGTACATACATTCATCCTAACCATGAATCAAAACTTACACACACGCACGCACATACATGTATATGTGTATGTAATGCAGACTTAGAATTGCTGAATACATCATCAGCCACGAGTTTATGATGATACATAAAGGCACCAGATAATAGTCAACACAAAACTAGTCATAAGGACCCTGTTCCTAACTCAATCCACCCTTTCACCCTCATGAACAGATATTAATTGTCTCAACATTGCTAATAAGCAACTCAATTACACCTCTGCCCCACTCTCTATATTTCATAAACAGAGTATTCAAAACCATTTCCATTTCGACACCATGGAGGAGATCAATTGATTTCATCATCAAGTATCTAGCATCCCCAAAGAAGTTAGGGAAGAGCTTTGCTGATCATCAATGTGCACGAATCTATTAAGAACTCCGACTTTTTCAAAAGATATTCAAGAAACCAAGTTTTTTTAATGGAACCAATATAAATCTATATTTTATCTTTTTTACAAAAAAAATTTTCAAATAAAATTTCTTCACTATAATTTATCGCTTCATGAATTTAATATCTTTGAATTGTGGTTTAGAGATAAGCATATTAAAAGTGGAAGTAGTTAAGAATCTCGATTTAACAAAAATTTCCATAAAAATGTTTTCCCAAATATGTGCCTTTATTTCTCCAAAAAAAAAAAATCCATCAAAACAACCATACATCTCAAAATAATAGTTAGAGTTAGAGGAAGTTCAATAGAAAATCATTTCTTTCCTCTAAATACGGAGAGTCATTATAAATAGCAAGAGAGAGATTATGTCAGTGTTCCAAAAAATGCTTGGCGGCACCTAGGCGGTTAGGGGGTCCAGGCCGCTCAGTGCCTAAGCAGGCGCCCAAAATCTAGGTGGTCCATTAGAATGAAAACTTGTTTTAAGGTCAGATTTTGTGTAAAAAATAAAAAATATATATATTGAGACATATTTTAGTCCATAATTCCATGCATTTCAAATTCAAAAATCAAACTTTAAAATTTAAACTTCAAACTATTAGGCACTAGAGTATTAGACCATATCCATATTCCACACCATAATCCAAACTCCATGCACTCCATAGTCCATACACAGAGAAACTAAAAAATGGCTTAAAAATAGGAAACTATAATCCAAAATAGCAACTTAGCAAGACATCGATTCTTATCAAGAAAATAAAAAATAACACATAAGATTTAGATCTCAAAATCTTCTAAAAGGCCCTCTAATAGACCTATAAGATCTCCAAAACTAAATCTAATCTCAATGGGTGATTTTAGATTGATTTCTCGTAACTTTGAAAGGCTCTTCAATCCTATGGAAATAACAAAACTCTAGTTTTTTGATGTTTCTATCTCTCTAAAATGGGCTCTTATGGGGTTTAAATTCATTTCAGTCTTATTTTTATAAAACAACCCAAACATAACCCAAAAATGCCCCTCAACAAGGGGCATTTTCGCCCCTGGGCACCCACCTAAGCAGGTGCCCAAGCGCCTAAGCGGCTTCCTAGGGGCAGGCTGCCTAGGCGGCCAGGCCCCCTGGACCGCCTAGGCGCTAGGTGGTCCGCCTTTTGGAACAAGGGATTATGTGACAGTTAGCAATTTAGACAGCTAGGAATACAAGGTGAGCTTTGAATATTTGAATTTACTTAAGAATTTTGTTGCTTTTTTTTTTTCTGCATAAAAAAGTTTGATTAATTTCACCTTTTTAATTTTTTGCTATTTCATTATTAATATTGCATAAAACATAACAATTTGGGCAGACCACTATTTTACATTATTGGATTTTTGTGTTTTAGTTAATTGCAATCCTATACTAAAGGTCATTTTTTTTTTCTTCCCCACAATAATTCCATACCAGGGGTCGCATTCGTGTTGTTTGCTAATATACTTCGTGTGTTAAGTACTATTGTTATTTTATTGTAGGCTCCCAATAGATCTATCATATATTTTGTGTTGTGAAAACAAAGTGAGCATTATTGTTGTACTTATTGAAAGTTTAGACAAAAATTTGTCAAGTATAACTCAAGATTCAAGGTAAGGACATAAAAATCATAGTTAAATGGTTTTAATGCATCCATATAATAACTGCAACTCATAATCTTACACTATGTTACCCTAACATATCCGACTTTTTCACTCCGTTTTGTTTAGTCAAATCCGAAATATTCACGATTCTCTAACTTAACTAATTTTAGGTGATCCGTATTTTTGACCTGATTTTATGCCTCCGACTTTTTTGGAGCAAAACCAATTTATTATCGATGTTTTGGTTTGCTGAAATATTGTTATTCCCGTACTTGCTAACTATGGTTCCAACAAGTATATGTGCATTTATATGCACCTGAACACTACAAAACACATTGAAATCATTGAATTCACATTTCAAAATTGTAATAAATCAAAAGATATAACAAAGGAATGGGCTTAAGGCTAGATGGCTAGGGTGATGGGACGCCACGACATGACATCTTGAATTCCATTCCTACTAAGGGTAGGGGACCCAATCCCCACTGAATTACCCCCCAAAAAAAAGATATAGCAAATGACATCCATGATTTCATAAAACGCTCAAATATCCATAACGAGAAAATACTAAATAACTTAAATACATGATCGCAACCACAAATTCATAGTCCAAAATTCATAGACGCCAATCTCCATAGTTCATACACTTTCCACAATTAAAAAATCCAAATCAAATCCGTCGAAGACATTTGGAAAAAACGAAAAAATCTCAAATACGAAGATAAAACACTCACCTTTGTTGCTTGAATCTCAATATTTGAAGTTTTGGATGACTTGAACCTCTAAATCACCCTAAAAATCCCCTTACACTGCTCATTGTGGTCCACAATGAATTCAGAAAAACAAAAAGAGTTTGAGATGATTTCTCAAATTGTGTAATAATTAATGTCTAAAAAGTTTGAATATACATACATATATATGTATGTATGTATGTTATATATATATATATATCTAGGAAAACACTTCAAAATGCCTATAGGTGAAGTTCTACAGTACTTCACCTACAACTTTATCACCATCAAAGTTCATCACACGGCCATAGAAGTCTGATAGTATTTGAATTTTAATATTTTTCACAAATCATAATGATCTGAAATTTTGTTGGTATGTGCGGCTTAATGAGGCGCACCTGAATAAAATATAAAACAAATAGTTTGGATGATAAAAATGACCTAAAATACCCTATGAAGTTTCTGGGGTAATTTTGTCATTGTTTTTTATGACTATTATTTTTTTAATATTTTATTTTTGTGCACCTTGGTCATATGTACACATGCCCCAAATTTTAGATAAAACTGATTTGTAAAATAATTATTAAAATTCAAATAGAACCGGACAACAGTGACCGTGTGATGAACTTTTGATGGTGATGAGGTGTAGGTGAAGTATTGTAGAACTTCACCTATAGGCGTT